GCAAATTCACCGAAGCAGACTAATATGCCTCGCTAATTGGGACACGTTCTCAGCATATTATCCAGCCTTTGTCTACCGCGCCACATATTTGCAGTCGTCGGTCGGGTCTGGACAACATATGAGTTCAAGGCGAGTTGGTTCCGGGTGGTAGACTGTAATGTTAAGTGAAAATCCATCTAAGCTGCAAGACTCTTTAGATAGTTTGAGTAGCTTTGTTCGGTATGTGTCGTAAACAGTGGCACTTGTGCATCGTCTCGATTTCATTGCAACCTTCCTCCGTTCTATTCTTACTTTCAACTTTCTCCAACTCCTTCATCCAAATGGGAAACCAAAATGGTTGCAGGAAAGTGCACGGCTAATGATCGCACAAAGTGAAACTTCGAGACGAGGACATTCACAGAGGGAATATTCAGAGTAGGTATCTTGTCTTTCAGGTTGGGGTGAAAACGACTGTGCCTGGTTGCTTGTATAACTGAAAGACATGACAGCGAACCGACAGCTGTGGAATCTTGATGTTCTTTTCTGGCCAGAATGCCTGAAAGGGTATGCACTACCAGATTGCGTTAACCAGGTTTGTTTTGTTCTCCCTCTCGAAATGGGCCTAATCCTTGTCCACCTTACACAATAAAACTTATTTGGTGTACACTGAGGTTGAAAGCGATCAGAATATTTGGCTGCGTTGATGGTACTGCAAGAACGGTGATAGACCGTTCGCTAGAAAACATAACACGGAGTAACTGTTGATTTCCATAAATTATTGGCATTATTGATGGACCGGTCGATACTGACTACTATCACACAAACGAAGATCTATTTACTTCAATGAATCACACTTCAGGATCCAACTGTCCGCCACGATTGATTCGTCGCTTGCTTGATGGCACTGCCCAGCTGCAACACTTGCATTTGCTTACTGATTCGGCTCTGCAAACTGCTTGAGTGTTGACGTTTTTGATTGTTCACCGGTGTCTACTTCAGCGATCGTCTATTTACTCACTCAACCGAAGCACAACAGTTAACTGTTTCCGGTAAGTGATCGGCCACATAAGACGAAACCCTGACATATCCGTACGCAATTTAAAAACTACCTATTATGAGGCATTTCGACGCATCATTCCCCCGCAATATTATTGATGCGTTCAATCGAGTCGATCCATTTTCCGCTGGTCTGTTCTATGTAGATTAACTGCAGATCACGAATGTCACTTCTCAATCCCTTCAGTGTTCGAAAAAGATCATAGCTCTAGCTACACAAGGAGCTGTGTAAGTTTGGAACTAGAAATGTGAATCAGCAGCCAAATGGGTAGGGTAAATGTTCATTGTCAATTGTTATCGGGTACAGGAAGATTCACGCAATACTAGTTTCAATGAATTTCGAAGGAAATAAAGACGGCCATCGTCCAGTCCAATTGTTTATTCCACATCAGAATCTCATTGCGCATTTGATTGCCGAAGCAAACAAGTAAGTCAAGTGCAGGAGGCATTAGAGTTCCACACATGAACGCACGCACACACACTTGCACAGGGAAATGACAAAATAGAAAAGAAACAGCAAGGGAAAGTGAGACCGGGAATCGATAAAGTGTCGATCGCAATGAGTGGGATGACCCAGATACCAACAGCTTTGCGTGGAGACAAATTCGGGATGTCCTCTATGGCCAATCTGCAGCAAACGAGTTCAATCTGCAACAACAATATAAGACAATCAACGAAATAGAAAGATCCCAACAAGATCGCACAAGGAGCAGAGATTAGGAGAGTTTTCCAGGCTAAATTGACTTAAACACTAAAACCGTTAATACAAACGTTCACTTTGTTTTCAACGGATACTTCACCTTAGGCTTGATGCGAATGAGAAACAAGCGAAACAACAGTCTTCATATTAGCAAATATCAACTGATCGATGTTCCTCACATTGACATTACCGGAAAAATAACAATAACCGAGGTCTTTGGGTCAACATTAAATAGGATTGCGCAAACGCAGCAGCTTATGAGTTGATACCTGGTCGACCGTGTATTCCGCTCAGAAGATTGATTTTATACCTACCGTCTATCGAAGAAAAAGACGGATGAGCGTAATAATGTGCAGGGTATCCCGAGGGTAACAGTACATATGCACTGCTATTAGGTCGTAACAAAAATGAAACACCTGCACACAGAGCATCAAGGCTCTTCAATGAACTGTGCCACACTGATGCTGCATTAGGACAATTTGTCTTCTTAGTACTCAAATAAATAAAATGAAAATACTTGCTAATACTATTCATGTAATAACTCACATCTAGTTCTTTGGTGGTGCACGCCAATTGGATCTGCATGATCAAAGAAAATAGAACGTTAGTGTGCGTGTTTCATACGGAGAAAAATCGAACGATCGACCGACGAAAAACGAAGCGCCACTTACCCTTGGGTTGTGCCACTAGACCCACCACGGTTGGAACCCACTGTACTTCCCCGGCTCCAATCGTTAGCATCACCGGAAAATCCAAAGGTGCCTCGCCTAACAGAAGAAAAAATACAAAGCGCTCACAAATAAATTGGATTAAACCAATAAATCAATCGTAACATTATATAGGGCGGTGGTGGCCAAGTGGTTAGGTCACCCATTTGTGACCCGGAAGTCCCGGGTTTGGACCGCTCCACCACCGCCCGTCTTCCCTATTTCTGTATCCCCCCTGGTAGCCTGTGGCCGCAGCCCCTTCCTGAAAGTTGACTGTACATTTGTATATTCAATAAGCAAAAAAAGTGAAGACATTTATTGTTATTATTTATTGTCAATAGCGTGCGCATGAAAAAAATATACTCCAGAGTAGAATTCTGTAGGCGAATGTTATCCCAGCGTTAAAAGACCCAAGGCCTATGGTTGCTGATGCTACTGGTGTAAAGGTACTTTTACATGACGCATAATCACAATACTGTCAGTAAATCGAGTACTACAACGCTTGAAGCTGAGAATTATTGAGGTAGGGGGATGGAGACAACCGGGTCACAAAAAGCGAGCCATAGATTTGGGAGCACCTGTTACTGATGAACCTCTTATACTAGTCCAAACACATTTAGTGCTGGCAATGGGTACCCGATAGGAGCAGCGCGTCGGAGTAGGTACACTGTTGTGTCCCTTGGCGACTCGGTCCACCCCTTGAGCTCTATCCTAACCTAACTATCATCTGTGAATGCAAGAGACTAACGCATACGGTGGCAGTCACCCGGTAAACCGATTGGCTAAACCAGGTGGAGGACAATCGAGGAATAAAAAAGCACATTATGCATTACATTTCACACGTCTGTGAAACATACATACCACGCGTTTAAGTTCCGACTGCGAGCCAAACAAACCATGGTACAATAATCACTACATCAAAGAAAGAGGACCAGGTTATCCAAGCCAATGCAGGTGAATTTTCTTGGAAACTACTAAACCGGTGCGTTTGGTTCACCAAAATCTGACTCGCAAGGTAGCAGGGTGGTGCGAAAACCGCAATCCACTGGGGATCGATATCCGGCTTATGGGATCATACACAATATGGACGTCCCGGGTGCGGAATACATCGCTGTCCTGATATCTGTACTGGGTTAGTCAAACGCTAGCAGTGCATACTCGGAAAAGACGGGTGACGATGGAAAAGTAATGCAAACTCATCGTCTTCGTTAAACCGGGAAATTGCTTCCCAGAAGTCAATATATTGAGGACCAGTTTTGGCGGTAAGGGCTCAGGAAAACAGACGTTTAGTATAAGCGAAGCTTTCAAAAAGTCCCAATCTTTCTCCGAGTGAGCGTCGCTTCGTTTTTGTCCCAAGAACCACATGGTCTTTTAAACCATCCCCCAGTTAGGCCTTGATCAGTCCTCGTGGTGTGCTTGTTTTTACTGAAATGAAAGGGCAAAATGACAATAGCCAGTGGTATCAGTTTGATGAACCAAAAATACCTAAATCATTTAGGGGAGTTGGAAACCCCAAGACCAATCAGAACGGGCTCCAGGAATGTTGATCGCAGTGGTCAGCGGCTCACTAGTGCAACAGAGCGCACTGGGTACCAAGAACGTGGGAACCACACCCAACTGATCGGACAGCGGTCCTCGGGTAGTGGTCGGTTTCACACCGCGCTGTCTTGCACGTTAGGTTACAGTTGACAGAAGGCTATCGTTGTAAATCCCAAAGAAAAGGTCGCATTGGCTTAGGTAAGTTAGTACTAGTTCGTCTTCAAGCAAATCAAGGAATGATTTGTCACTAGGATGTCGTAGAGTAATCTGTTTGGTACATCATCTGGAAAGAAACATGCGCTGAGCTCCGACATGATTCGGTTTTTGAGTACTGCATTTGGCCAGCTGTGGCTTAGGGACGGATAGAAGTATGGAATCCCGGTGTTACCTTTGAGCAGAATAGAAAACAATTCCCAATGGTTGTAATAGAAGCCGAAACAGGTGCACGAGTAACAAGCGTCAGTGTTAATGTGCATTGTATAGCGGGTTCGTAATAATGGGTGAAGAGGCCCTAAACATCCGCATCGTCTGAAGTATTCGTGATTAAGTTCTTGTTAAGAAACCTATTTTCTATCCAGGTCAGGTTATAGCATAAACGCAATTACGGTAAATGCCATACTGTAGGAAAGCATCCTCAGATCGGTCACTTTACAAAGGAACCAAAATTAGGTGCGAAACGGATTGAACGAAAGCTTACTCGCGACGTGGGGGACCCGATCGCATCCCGCCAGGCATGGCAGAGTGTCGAGCACTGAAAGTAGGGTGTAGAGAAAGGAATAAACATCTTGCGTTGTTTGTTTCAGAAACGGATACCACGTACACCCGGCACTGACATCGTACAGTCTGGACGACAGGTGGAATCAGTGAGTGGCTTGCCTAACAATTTCCTTCTGATACACTTGTCCATAAACACTGAAAACTGACACTTCTAAAGTGGATTTGAATTCAGCTTCTGGAAAGTGGTCACAACCAAAGCCATAAATTACTACACTACGCTAATGGTCTCAACACCGATGACCATATGCAAAGTAATGATAACTGGTCGACGAAATTGACACACACGGATTTCATAAATGCAATAGGCCTCTGATTGGACTGACAGATGCATTCATCGCTCGGACCATCATCGTTTAGCCTAACCGATCCACGAAAAGTTCCATGCAACAACGAAGTTCAGAGGAGCGAAACTACGTTATAAACAACCAGTTCGGATAAATGGTGATAAGTTTGCATTATTAAAGTAGACGTAGTTTAACTCTATTTTTTCACGGAACTATGTTAACATCAGCTAGCTGGTGTGATCAGCTGACCAGTTGCATTGGAGAGTTATAAATCGTCGTCCGGCGCACGATTTGCGATACACCGCGACAAATGAAGTGACCCCGATGATAGTAGTTAAGAACGAATTCCAAAATCTGGATAGTCGCATTGATTGGGTAATAGTCAAATGAGTGGACAAAGCCAATCAACTTTAGAATCGTCGCAGAAGATGCATCAGGCCAAAAGCGCTCCAGAATCCACTCGGTGTAAACCAAGTGCATTGCACTCGAAAATCTCTGTCAATTGAGAAACGATACTTCCAGTTGACCAGTTCGTTTTCTGCTGGGCAATTTGTAGGTGGAATCCTCAACGAATGGTTAATCAAACCCACAGAGGTAACTCGGTTCTTTTACTTTAAAAAATGCATCCGTTCAATATCACGCCTAATCTATCGGAGCCTTATGTGGCTTGCCACTCCAAGTCCCGGGGCTTGGGTTGCCGGTTTTCACCACTGAACAGCAGGTCCTCGTGATTATGAGGTTTGCCCCGCCTGTTGTTCATCACACTTAGGTGTGTAATAAAAATAAAATAAATCAGCTGAGAAACGAACACCGTAGCAAAAGCCGTCTCGTGAACTATTTTCCCGGATAAGTAATCCAGGCAACAATCAGTACACGCTTCACAAGGCAAATTAAGCTAAGTGGAACCGGTAAATTACCGAGTCTCGGACGAAAACAACTGGTGTACACATTGAAAACAACTCACTATGAATGTGGGATGAAATTTTAGAGATTAAAGAAAACGTTGAAGATGAAGCAATGACAATCCACAATGGGGTCATCAAATTGTCTTACCCACGACCCAGGCTAGGAGGAACATAGGGCCGGTTGTGTGCTCGATCTGAATCTGCAACAATTTGGAACAAGTGAATGAAATGAATAAGTTCATGTAGTTCTGACCAACGGTACAGAACAAACAAATACGGAATCAGGTTGGTCCAACAGAAGCGTCATGGAATAGTTGCAAAACGGCAGTCGAACAACAGCTATTCAGGTTGAGTGCAACATGTCACACAAGCGAATGTTTCAAGTGAATACGAACGACCAGAAGAAAACTAGGTATGGTGCGATCGCTCATCGCAACGAGCCACGAAATAGCGTCAGTTCCGTCAGGGGAATGAAATTCTTGTCACCATCTGTTTGCGTGATCATCCCGATAACGGATCACTTGGATAAATACCGCAATGAAAAATTTGTGATCGACTCCGATAACTCTACTTGGGTTCAGCTTAGACTGTTACCCTTAGCACTCTCCTACTTTACTACGACTGGATCAATGGGAGAGGATAAACCGGTTTCAGGAATATCTCTGACCGCTGCTACCCATCCCTAATAGTTGGTTGCAGGGTTCTTGCGTATGTCGATCCAGTTTATCTTTAAGCTACCCGAAAGTTTGGATGGTCTACCTAGAGTTTCGGTTTGCCTTCCTAGTTGGCGTTGTTGAGACAATATTGGTAAGAGTGGAGTCGGATCTACAGAGGCGTGCCCGTGCTATGAACGTTCTTCACTTTCGCATCAATACTGGAGGACACTTATACAGGATAACTCGTTTCCAAGGCCCCGTTTGTGGTTATTACACCATCCTTTCGTTACATTTTGTACCTTGGGGCTGGTTGCTACCTGAGAGTAGTGTGTGCACAGTGGTGTGGACCAGGTGTCAGAACTAAATAGCTTCGTCACGAACGGATCCACCTACCAGGTCCTGCTATTCTGTACTGTCACGCATGATCGTTTTCCTTCGAATTGCGCGGAAGTGCATGCAGTATTATGGAAGATTCGGATTGACCCACGATATCAACTTATAAACGAAATGGAACTGGTCTGTATACCTGCCCGACAGGTGACGGAATGATAAATTTCGCTAATCACGTAGTTTATTCCAAGTAATTTTCAGGCCTCAATCAGTGTCATCTCCTATGAGTGATGCGGCAGAAACAAAACATATTCATATTGTGCAATTGGATGTTTCATAGGGTACATCTGCAACCAGTACGGAATAACGAAATAATAACGCGAAATTGAAAAACATTACCTTTAGGTTGTCCGACTTGAGTCCAGCCACCGCCGGCGTCATCATCGTGTAGAGCAGATTCGAACTCCGCGGGCATTGCTAAAAGATGATGTGAAACGTAGTAAATGCACGACTGCAAACGTAAGACTTGAGAGCAACCTAGCCAGCTAATCTCGTTTTTCCGTTCACGTTACTAAGATGAGCAAGAAAGGGAGATTCAGTGGGAACCGCAGTTCCATCGCGAGAATTAGCCGTTGGTGCTTGAGGACTTGAAGTGGTGAATCAGACAAGAGCCCCACAAGATAGGCATGTTACTGCATAGCAAAAAAAGCAAAACTTAAAGCAAACTTATTACGCATGAATTTATTTAGGAGCACTACAATCAAAAGGCTGCGTATTGTTTGATTAAACTTAGTTAATAACAATATGCTTAACAGTAAACGGTAGTGAGAATCCAAGTTACGCTTGTTCTTACTCCTGCGAGGACCGCGACCAAACGCTGGTGCTGGATGTTCCGGACGAGCGGCGGGTTCAACGGGTGCTGTTGGACGCTTGGGAGATACTTCAAAAGCAGTTGCTGAAATAAAACGGCAAGAGAAGATGCGTTTAGGACAACTTTCAAAATGACTAATTTAAGTTTCATTATGTAAGGTGCTTTGTTCTGCCTCTTTTTCATTGCCGGTATACGTCCAATCGTACATTCAGTAGAGGAAAAGCAACCAACCATAACAGAATCCTGCAATCTTTAAGCTGTGAATTTGACTTAGTGGAGCAACTTCGAGGTCTATCATTTGTGGGACAGTTCTACGCAAGGTCTTCGAAGAAGGATATTGCAAGAATGTATTTTAATGAACAAGGTAAGAGGCTGTATGAAGGTAACATAAGGAGCAGTAAAATGCAGCGAAAAGTAACTCAAATACAAAAACAAGGCGTAGAAGTATCATCAAACTTATTGAATGGGACCAAAACTAAGAGTATGATGCAATAGTTTAAAATTATTTTTTCGTTCATGTTAGTACATTGTCCGGCACTGGCCTTCTGGGCAAATTGTATTAACGGCCTGGGCGACTTCTCGGGTTAAGCTGAATGATACCGGGCGTGTCCCCGGGTTGTGCATAGGGAGATACCTGCACTGAAGAAGGTTAGCTATGAATAAGTTGTGGCATACGGAAGCATATAAGCAGTCGAGAACAAACAGCGGCGGCACTACCAGGATGTGGTGGGGTTCAGGTTGGTCACCTGGTTTCTGTTTAAAAGCCGCATAAGCCCAATGACGGTGTCGTGACAAAGGTCGATGTGACTGTTTTTTTTTAATTAAAGTCATTGACCCCTCACTTCCGAGGCGAGGGATTTTTTTCCTGCTGCCTTGCAGTTCGCACTTGGTTGTGCAAAGATTACAGGTGCCCCGCCCCCAAAATAAAAAAACGACGGGTGACGCTGGGAAAGCCTCACGTACCCAAACCCCAAGTAACTTCACCATCATGTCTTTTACGGCGGCAATCAGAGACATTCATGGAGCCGGCTTACCTTCCCAAGGAGCCAGTCGTGTTAAGGGCAACTAGCAGTATCACATCCCCGACCAAATCACGGATCTTTTTCCTTTTTATAAAGATGATTCCACCGTGATTTGTTAAGGACACACCGTATGAACTCAGACGTGTGTGAAAACGCTTATCACAAATACTTAAAGAATACTGATTTCGAACATTCACATGAATGGATGACGCTCTTCTTTTGGGTTTTACACACTTGGTAGGCATCTTGAAAAAACATCCTATGATCTTGAATAAGTAAAACCTGTGACCTGTATATCCGAAACTTACGGGCTTTGACAGCGCTACCTCGTATCCAATCAGTCGTGTCAGCTATACCTTGGGAACGCAGAGGTTCGTCTAAAAGTGGAAAAATCACAGAGACAAAGGTCAAATAATAAAAGCACGTAAAACTCAGAATTGGTGCAAATGATAACAGAACCTACTTCGACTTAGCATGGAACCTGGCGGTCGAGAATAACGAGGAGTGGAATCCGCAGGACGAGGAGGGAAAGGAGATTGTTCTGGTTCCGCTAAAAAAACAAAATGAAAGCGATAAAATATTTTCGTACGTGTTTGACTTCAAATAAAACTTTCGGATCTCGGCTCACTTTTTCGATTTGCAGCGCGTTGTCTTTCTTCTTCTTCTCTTGCGGCGGCTCTTTCTTCAGCTTCTTTCGCCTCTGAGAAAACGAAATAAAACGGTGGAAAAAGCAAGATAAAGTGATACGAGGATAATCAATAAATACCCCACTGGTGCAAAAGCGTACATAGTGCCACCGTTTTTTTTTACCAATACCTCATTAAAACACCGCATTCTGTGAACTATCACCATCTCACGCACTTGGTGAAACTATCACTATACCACTCACGTTGTCGCAATAATCCGAACTGATCAGTTACACAAGTTCTAGGTGGGATCATCCTCCCGTGATTGCGGACGAGGCTTGATTGACTTCAGCAAAAGCTCTTTCACTAAGTGAGCTTCTTGAAACGCCTGTTGATGCAGTATTACTCGCTGAAGGTGTTTTCCAAAAAAATGGGAGCGAAAAGTCAACAGATTGGGGCTGTGAGCTGATGAGGTACGAACAGTTAGCACATTTAGGGTGTGTGGGAAAATCCTCGTTGCAAACTTTCCAAGGGGCGCACAAAAAGCATCCAGATCACTCTGATCACAGAGGCCACCAGCTTGATTAGCCGAGGGTGAACGGCACAGACAGAACGCATGGACGTCCTAAGCCCACCGGCACCCAAAGAATAACGTACAACACTAGGCTGCCATGACGGTCAGGTTTTGTCTAACCGAAGACTGAGATTTTGAACCAAAGTTGGCCTGGTTCGGAATACCCTAGATTGGTTGGTATTGGGTCATGTAAGAAGACAGCTGTGCACAACTCTGGGGGAAATGGCACTTACTTTGTGCTTGCTTGATTCGTTCAGCTTCCGCTGCCAATTCAGCTTCACGCCTAGCGGCTTCTTCTTCACGTGCTTTGCGCTCCGCTTCAGCTGCCGCCTCCGCCTCACGTTTCGCCTTTAGCTCGGCCAACCGCTGAGTTCGTGTGGTGTCACACAGCTCTTCCCATTCGGCCAGACGAGTTTTATAACGCTTATCGCGGGCTTCTTTCAGTTGGCCAATGATGACCTGGAGAACGAAATTTCGTCAACAACAAAAAATACTTGTTAAACGGAGAATCAACTCCTGTGAGGATGAAATACACATGAGAAAAACTGCATGGACAATATTATTGTATTAGTTTATCCACGGTTCAACACACTCACTTGTTGAAAAAGAGCAATCCAAGCNAAGCATAACCTGACTTTTAGTAGTATGAATAAAAAAATAGAACGCTCGTTCGTCCTAAAGTCTATCACAACAACGGGGTTGAACTCGACAAAACGATAGGTTGTTCGGAGTAGTTTATTACTATTTATATTCAGCATTTGTCTAAGGATGGACTGTGTACCAATGAAATCATGATACAATAATCTTTGTAAAAAGAAAAACGTTCCATGCGAGACATTATAGCAGTACTAAAAACCGTTACAAAGAAAACTGGAACGACCAGAATTCGGTGCATAATTTGTGCTATAACTTCAAACAGGATAAACGGATCAGTAGTTGCGCTGCTGAGAGTAAATGTGACAGGGAGAAGCTTGGTTAGGAAAAGTGACAAATCTTCCCAACTCTACCCATCAAAATGTTAATCTTGTGGTTACTTTACTAATCTGTATTTGGGATGT